TTATTCCAATGTTTGCAAATTCTTTTGACGTACTTATGCCAGTTTTTACTTTAGCCAGTTTGCATTTATGCTAGTTTTTGCAACTGCTTTGCACTTATGCCAGTTTGCACTTATGCCAAGTTTGCAAGTTTATTCGGCGCACATGCTATTGCACAGTGGGCCAAGATTGACATAAAATGGACAAAAAATCATAACTCTTTTATTTTTAAAATTATCAAATTGAAATTTTTATCAGTGACTCCAGTCAACATGAAGATCTTTTTTTAAAAAATTTTTTTTTGCAGATGCATGCACCCTAAAAACCTAAAAGAAAAGGGTTTATAGGGCTTTGGCGATTTTAGACATAACTTTTGGTTTTTTTTTAGAAACAGTTTTTCCCAGATTCGAAGCATTAATTGACTAAAATATTTGTGACGTGTTAGACCTTTAATAAACAAAGAAACATTTATTGAATAATTTTATTGAATAATTTTATTGAATAATTTTATTGAATAATTTTATTGAATAATTTTATTGAATAATTTTATTGAATAATTTTATTGAATAATTTTATTGAATAATTTTATTGAATAATTTTATTGAATAATTTTATTGAATAATTTTATTGAATAATTTTATTGAATAATTTTATTGAATATTTGATCAGGAATCAGAGTAAAAATATTGAAAACTTTAAATTAAAAAAAAGTTATAACAAAAGTTTAAAACAATCTTTGTTCAAGTTCTTTAATACATCTTAAACTCTTTCTTAGAAAACTAATAATTGGATCTAAACTGCAAAATAGTCTTTACTTAACATCTTCGTTTGATACTTTCCTTAAATATTCTATCGTAAAGTGAAAATTTCTTGAATATTTTATCGTAAAGTTGAGACTTTTCTTGAATATTTTATCTATAATTTTTAACGTCTTTATTTCGACATTCCTGAGCTTCCTCAGAAAGAAGACCTTTTGGTACTAGTTTATCTCGTACAACTTGAGAACTATGAATTAGAATTTTATGTAAAAATTGAGGCATTGGAAACCATGGGTACAGAGAAACGTAGAGCTCTGCTGTTTCTTTGGTATATTTTTTAGTTCATCTGCGTTAATTTGATGTTTGCACAATAAAACACAAAGAATTACGTAGAAACGTTCCATGAGATTTTTATTTAAGTCAAGTATTTCAGCAGAAAAGTTATATTTTTGGAATACTTTTTGTACCGTGTTTCTATCAATTGTTGTAACTGAGCCGCTGCTTCTTGGTACACCTACAATTAAACCTAAATAATCTTTCACCTTTTCATCTTCTCCTCTAATTTGTCATTTTCCTAATTCAATTCTATAACTTACACGAAGGCAGCATTCAAAGCACCTAATCCATGCATGTAATGTGCTCAATCCAAGCTCAGTGGAAACTGTATTATAGATTTTTGAAAAAGCAACATTTAGATTGTTCATATTTGAAGGGGTCAGTCCACAAATACTATATACTTGAAAGAAATTACTTTAAGGCGAAGCTATAGTAGCTACTTTTCCATCAACCATTGTGCATTCTAACTTATGTTTGATAAAAAAGAAATTAAAGATCGTTGGTTTCAAATTACTGTTCTTAATAACCTCAGCACTTTCTTTTACATATTAATATTGTACTGGACGGCAGTAAAGTGTAGAGGATGGTTTTTCATTAGTCCATAGTTATTCTCCAGATTCTTCAATATAAAGTTTAATTGGAACGATGCAGTATAAAAATAAAGATTGTTTTTCGACATAACTGATACTTATTTCGTCTTTTGTACTTTGTTTTTATAATGATTGGCCGGTTAAACCATCAAATCCTACTTTGTGTATAAAAAAAAGAATAGATTTTTCAGGAGCATATATATATATATATATATATATGTATATATATATATATGTATATATATATATATATATATATATATATATATATATATATATATATATATATATATATATATATATTTTTTTTTTTTTTCAATTTTATTTAGGTGCCCCAAGAAGTCCTAACAGTCTTATTACAGAGCACCGCACATGAGCATTTAACGCCTCCTTCCAAACCGGTCGCAAAACTTGCCCAGAGGGGGGATTTGAACCAGAAATCCTTTGTTTCTGCAAAAGCAAGTGCGCTACCACTGCACCACGGCTGCTCATGTGCATACAGAGGTGTAGACACAATTTCTTGTTGTTCGAGGTAACTTTCAGACATGGAGTAAACTTCAAACATTTATATTTTTATACTTACGTCAAATAATGAGGCTTTGCAAAAAATCGCGATGATTGGAGCCTGGGAACAAAAAAGCCCTAAAATTTTCGCCTCCCTCCCTACGCCAAACGTGAGAGCAAGTTGATAAAATATTTTTTGTACTGTTCTTAACTAGACTTATATTCATCGATAAATTTTAAGTTTCATAGTATAATATTTCAGCGTTCATAAATTATGACCGTTTAATTTTTGTAACCCCCTCAAATTGAGGGGGTTTAATCTAAGTAAGTTCATAATTATTAAACGCTGAGAGATTTTGGTATGAAACTTAAAATTTATCGATGAATAAAAATCTAGTTAAGAAAAGTACAAAAACTATTTTATCAACTTAGTTTATCAACTTAACTAGCGGTTGTTAGCATTTTAACAATTTTTAATTATTTGCTATTTTGAATTTCTTAATTTTCTCAGTTATTTTCTGTTTTAATTCTGATTTATATTTGTATTATATATATTTGTATGTTAAGGTTATGTAGAGTTTTTTTTATGTAGAGTTTTTTTTTATATGTAGGGCTCGGCGATAAGGCAAACTGTGCCTACTTCTTGCTCCTGCCATTAATTTTGATACATGTATATGCAATGCAAACATTCTTTAACGGCGAAATAAATTACACCAAAAAAAAAATAATAATAATAATTATTCTCACATATGGGGCAGGGAGGGGGGAATTTTAGGGCTTTTATGTTCCCAGCCTCCAATCATCGCAATTTTTTGCAAAGCGTCATTACTTGACGTAAGTATAAAAATATAAATGTTAAAAGTTTGCTCAATGTCTGGAAGTTACCTATCTCGAACAACAAAAAATTGTGCCTACGCCTCCGTGTGCATATACATAACGTAAGTGCGAACTCGCACAAATGCGAATTGTATATTGACGTAAGTGCGAACTCGCACAAATGCGAACTGGCATAAATGTGAAGCATAAGTTGGCGTATGTGGAACGGGCATATATGCGCCAAAAATATTTGCAAAAACTGGCAAAAGTCCGAGTCATAACTTTTAGATATTGGAGTTCCAAAGTTCTTTTCATATTGTTATTATTCTTGTTATTTTTATTATTGATATTATTATTATTAGTAGTAGAAGTAGTAGTAGTAGTAGTAGTAGTAGTAGTAGTAGTAGTAGTAGTAGTAGTAGTAGTAGTAGTAGTAGTAGTAGTAGTAATAGTAGAAGTAGTTTTTGGTGCGACTGGCTTTTGTACCTTTTTTTTACGCTTTTGTATTGTTTGAACTATGAACCTTAACATTTTTTACGTCATTTGTCATATGATGCAGAGAGACTTGTTAATAGTAACAAGTTGACCTGATAATATTTCATCATTTCTTTTTGAGACTTATTTGAAAGTCAAATGATAAAAAAGCAAAAACAAAATTTTCAAAAAGTTATTAATTTAATTGTAAAAAATCATATTCTTTTTAAATATTCGAATAACTTTGAACTAAAGAATCATCACCAAATTATGCTTTATTTACCCGGATTAATCACTGAAAACAGTTTTTAATCATGGTTTAAGATGGTGATACTGTTTTAATTAAAGAAAGAGATGTTTTTATTAAATATGTTCAGGCCACAAAAGAGCTTAAAATTAAAGAGGAAGATAATTTCAAAGTCACTTTTTTTTTATCAAAAAAAAAAAAAGTTAATGTTTGTGATTTTTTCACAATACCATCATACGATTTTATGAATTTTTAGGGTTTTCAATATTTTTTTCTATATAAAAAAAGAATTTCATGTTGCTCATCTAACTTTAGACACTTCATTAACTAAAGGATATGTGTAAAAATGGATTTTTGTAAGATAAGTTGTTGCAATTGCAATTGATTTTGTATCTAGCTTTTTTTACAATTCTTTTTCCTTCATTTACTTTCATACGGGAAACGCCAGTTTCTGTTTCAACGGTAAAACGATGTCTTTGCAATTTTAAAGAATTTGTTACTGCCAAATAACCATTACTATGCAAACTAAATAAAGTTAAAAGAAAAAAATTAATATTGGACAATTCAACAATATTTAAGATAAAAATTGGACAATTCAACAATATATATATACTACCGGTATATATTTTTGCCACAACATTTTTATCTTACGTCTTATTTCAAACTAAAAAAGTTTAAAATATAAACTTTTGAGAATTTACAACAAATTCCTTGCTTTATCTACAGTAAGTACAATAATAGACATTTATTTTGTGGTAATTTAGTGGATCATAATTAAATATCGCTGGTGAAAGTCATTACCACAAATCTTTTAAAAATTTGTGTTTCAATGCTTTCAAACTAAAATTTACAATTTTTACACTTCTGAATTTTTAATTATAACATGTGTTCATGTTATAATTAAAATTTTTTTTTTGTTTTAAAAAATTTTCGAGTTACTTTAAACCCTTTTTTTTGAGATACGAAGTAATGGTTTTAGAACAATATTCTGTTTAAATTTAACGGTTTAAATGTTTAGCTCTAGCGCGCATCAAAAAGAAATGGTGGCCGTGCTTTCGACTAAACTTGAATTCATTGTGTTATCTCTGAACAATGTTATGTAATGTATATATTATGTGTATTGTAATGAAATTTTATTAAAATACAAAATGTTTATTAATATATAGATTAAAACGACGATGTTTTTATAGTTTAAAATAGTCTAAGTTTTAATTTTATATTATTTGAATTCTTTTTTTTATGTAAGTAAACATCGCCTCGTTTCTTCTTTTTCTTTCGGGTTTTTATTAAGTTTACTCTTTAAGCTAAAATCTTGTATTTGCTTAAGTATTAACTATTCATACAAATAAAAATTAATGTGAAAAATAAACAAAATAAACCAAAATTAACATAAAAAAGAGCAACGTATAAACGCCGGTCGAAAAACGACTGCCTTGCATGGGCCATGCATCAAACGGCGAGCAGTGTTTAGCTTAGTCCATGCATGTTTGTGACTCGGTCCTGGCACCGTTAGTATACCATGCATAGACAAAGCAGGAAGAATTTGTTGGGAATTAACTGAAAATAAATAATTGTTACGAGCTATGTTGCAGATATAATCTATTGCAGTTAAAAAGATTGTGTAGTAAAAATATTATATATTTATAGTCTGAAAATAACCATAACACACTGAATGTTTTAATTCGTTTAGTTCTCTTGTTATAAAAGTAAAACGCACACTAAATGTTTTACTTTTTATGTTCGAAACCTGAAACAGCGGTTTAAATAAACAATTAAAATTAGCGTGAAGTTAAATAAACTTAGCATGATTTAATTATTTTATTGGCGATTAACTTTTTAGTTTTTTTCTCTATTGTTTTTTTACAAGCAATTATTTCGTCTTCATTGATGGGCCAATGAGATTCATTTTTTACAACACTAGCTTCATAAATGCTTAAAACTCCTTTGCTCACTCGAATCGGCTTTATACTTGAACTGGCTGAATCTTTTTTTGTTAAGCGCAGACCAATCTCAGCAACAAAGCATAACCCTCTTGTGTCATGGTTATGTGAAATGAGAAGTAAATCGGGTGTTGGACAAAGAATAATGTAATTAAAATGTTGCGTAGTGTTAAAAGATATCTTGTTAAAAACATCGGGAACAGCCAATAAAGAAGATGTCAAGTTTTTGAGTTCGTTAGTATAATATATTCCTGTTTGAGTTTCTATAAATAAAGGTCTACTTTTTTCAATGTCTTCAATTTTTTCAAAAATATTTTGTTTTGCATATTTGTGTAAATCCTTTTCTTTTCTTTTCCAAACTAAAAGATCGGAACTTGATACGTACCGGATATTTTCTTCGTCGCCATTTATGTAAAGTCCGTATACTATTCCCAGGTTTAAGTTTGCGATTTGCTTTGAAACTAAAGTTGTTTTCGATTCTGCAGACTGTAGCGCTTTGTTCGCGTTTTTAATCCAACTCCACGGTTTTATTATATGAAAAATATGTTCTCGAACGTCAAAAAAATTTGGTACCGGACCATCTTTAATTTTATAGGACACGTTAGAGTCCATACCATCTTGACTTGATTTGCGTGTAAGTCGAAGCAAAGAATTCTTTCCTTGATTCATTTAATTCTGCTAAAAAAAATTAGGTAAATATAAAATCATTATCCAATAAAAACTTACGCAGTTTCTAAACCTTCAGAACTTCGCCTTTATCAGATTATCTAAGTTGCTTTATAACCGAATTAATATAGTTTGTTTATTAAGCAAATCAAAGATTTGATAGTGTTAAAAAATAACAATACTTACGAAGTACATTGGCACGAGTTTGGTAAATTATTAAATGGTACGAAGGAATGTTATCAAATGTTTAATACTATTTTTAAATTCTATTATTTTTTATTTATCATATTATTGTTGCACATAAACCCGTATAATCTTATTTTTCTAACAACTTTTTCGTTTGTTTGCTAAAATTTAAAACCTTTGATAAAATCTACGAAAGACTTTATTGTTTTAGCAGGATATAACTTTAACAGAGATCAAATACAGCAAATAATTTTTTCAAGTAAAATTTCATTAAAATTGAAGAAAAAGAAAGAAACTTAAATTTATTTGATCGAATTTCAATGTTTAGATGAACTTGAAGTTTTACTCGACGTTTTTACGCATAAAGATTTTTTATTAAGCACGAGGCTAAATAAAATTTAGCAATTTACATTACGGCCGGGAAAAATAATTTTAGTTACATTACGACCCAGAAGTATTCTGAGAATTTTAACTTTATTTTCTATTTTATCGTTTTTAACTTTTAAAATCAACAACATACAAAAAGTTATACCGTTGTGGGAGAAAATTAAGTATAAAGGTTAATTTTTTTTATGGTATTGAAATTAAAAAAGTTCTTTTACATTTTAATGTAGTTTTTTTTAATCTTGTTTATTCTTTTGCGTGTCTTTCTCAATTTTTTTTTTTCATCGCCAGTCAATTTTGGTGCCCATGGGTTAACTGCCATACTGGACACTGTGCACGTAAACACAAACTTTAATTCGTGGACCGGTATTTCGTCAAAATTCGACAAATTCATCTTGAAATTAGGGATAAATAGACACATTAATTCCCATAACCCATACTACCAAAGGTTTATTAAAACAGATCAATGACGACAAACCAACAACGACAAATGAATGATGACGAACCTATGACGACAAATGAATGGCTTATCTTTTCTTTTTCTTATATCCTTTATTTTTAAGTAGTTTAAATATTTTTTTTTTTGCGCAATTAAAATCTTTTTGATTAGTGATAAGGGTTTTCGGTTTATACTTAAAAGTATAAACTAAAGATAACTTAATAATGTTAAAAATTTTAAGAGTAGTAATAAGCAAAATATAAGTACTATACAAAAAAAATATTTAAAAGAAAAATACAAGATTTAGCAGGTACATGTTGAAGGCGTTCTTCAAATTAACTTGAAAAATTCATCAAACGTCTTTATTTTATAAACAATTTGCGACTTGTGTGCATTTAAATGTTAAAACTTTTTTTTCTATGTTTATTGATTAGGTCTGCTAAATCTATATTATTTGAATCAATGCTTTTGTACCAATCGTTTGTTCCATAACTGTTATTTCTTATCTACTATTTGAATCTTTTCTAAATTTCTATATAATATTTTATTTTTGCAAATTCTTTTGCATTAAATACATTCTTAGAAACTTTTATGAAAAAGCATTTTCACATTTCGGATTTGTATTATTGCATTTTCATATTTCGGTTTTGTTTTAATCTTTTGTTTTAATACAAAAGTTAACTTAGAAATATCGTCAAAATTGTTAAAAATTGAAACTCACATACAAATATGGCAGGATTCTTTTTTAAATTTTATCACCTAATCGTTTTTAAAATCGGAGAATATGATAGTTTGGCATAAGACACACATTAACACATTTAAAGATCTTTGAAATTAACTTTCGAAAATCTCTGCGTTGACGTCATAAATTCTTTACTAAGTTGGCATTACGTTCTGTAAGTTTAACTAAGCCCTAAACTAAAAATATTATCAATCCAAACTCGATTGTTAATAGAACTGTAATTTTTTAGTAATAACTAATACTGGTGTTATTATTCTATTTGATTGTTATCGACGTTGGTTCTCCTTTTATTACTTGTTTTACGGAGACCACATGTCAGGATATGCAGAAGCCGTTTCAATTCAAATTTAAGGAACGAATATGTAATGATAAAGTATAGAAAAAAGTAGTTAAAATATGTTAAAATATATTTTTAATTACATGCGAATATAAAAATTAACGTTTTTTTCAACGCATGTTACTTTATTTTGCCAAATCACAGCACAATAGTTAATACCTTGTTAAAATTTATTAAATACCCCCTTTTTTTTTTTTTCGTAAACAAGTCTTTTATAAAAAACTAGTACTTGAAGACCCAAATTCTAAAGAAAGTTTTGTACTAAATTACTTAATTAACAAGTTATTTTATTAAGAGTTCGAGAAATATTTCCTACTTTTTCACCTACATATCACATCAATACAACGCGAAGTTATCATTTACAAAAATCCTTTACAACGGAGAACAACAAATCAAATGAGTAATAAGTACGCGCAATCAAATGGAATTCCATTCAATTGCTAATGAAGTATGTATACTATAATCAACAAATTCGAGAAACTTTTAGTACTGCCACATTGACCGTGCACGTAAACACAAATTTTTAATACTATAATAGTAGTAATCTATAAATTGGGAAAATAGAACCCTTAAAATAAGAAATATTTCAGTACTAGCCCAATTGATTAGTTTAAAAAAGTAAAAAAATAGTATAAAGTAGCTAAGTTTAGTAAAAGAACGTGTAATTTTCTAAATAAAAGGGATTTTACAAAATACTGAGAGTTTTTGAATGTTATTCTATTGGTTGATGTTGTTAAATTTGTTATTCTATTGGAAAAATAACATTTACAACACTGTTTTCTATTTTTGATTAATTCTCGTGTTTTACTAAGAATTTAGATAAATAATATTTAATATATAATAATATTTATAATAAATTCTTTGATAACTATTATCATTTTAGAGATTGTGTTTTTTTTTTTTTTTTTTCATTTATTAATAAAACTTTGGGAAAAGCTACTTTACTCTTTTTACTGAGTTTTTTTTATTTTATTTTATTTTTTACTCTTTTTACTGTTTTTTTTTATGTATTTTATTTTTTACTCTTTTTACTGGTTTTTTTTATGTATTTTTATTTTTTACTCTTTTTACTGGTTTTTTTTTATGTATTTTATTGTTTAAATAAAATAGAGATACAATTTAGATGTCACAAACAATAAACTAGTTGTATTCTTATTAAGTTCTGCGGACAAAGTTAGACATTAGATGCTAGACCCTAATTCTAATATCAGACAAAACATTTTTTAATACTTAAAATAACTACAAATAGAAGCACCATTCACATTTTATATTCGGTCCGGCGGCGTGTTCATACCGATGACGATGTCTGTAAATAACTCAATCATAATTATATCGAAGTTTAAAGTTCTTCCAATCACGACTAGGCTATTTATACTTTCGATAGCAACATGTTGTGCCACTTTTCTGACAAATTAAATTTTTTTTTCTTTTTCATAGTATCTTATAATAATTAAACTTTTTATTTATTTCTAATAAATTCTTAATTTTTATATGCTGAAAATTTCTTTATTTTTTTCCACTGGGAGTTTACAAGCAAATTTGTAAACCCACTCCATGCATCCTTAAATTAAGTTGCAATTTAAAGTTTTAAAACATTCTTGATTTTTTTTTTTTCTTACTAAAAATAAAACTTTTTTTTTGCCGCATGCTTTTTTCGTGAGAAGACGTGTTTTTGAAAGAGCTATAGTTTAATGAAAATAATGGTAGTACTTTTAATTTTTAGTATTTTATAACTAAAAGTTCAATAATTTAATAAAGATTTAACAAAAAATTAATATATATATATCGGAAAGTAAACACAGTTAAGATAAAACATTTTTATGTTAATAAGATAGTATTATAGAAAATAAAGAAATTACGGCAGCAATGGAACTTTCTAATGAAACTAGAAAAAAAATATTGGAATAAATATTTTCAGTATACAAAAAAGAAACGGAGTTAATGTTTAAAGAACAAGAAAAAAACTTGATAAGTATAATAAGTGCAAATACCAAAATAACTAACGATCGAATGGCCAAAGTTGATAAGGATACTCACAAAAACGCTAAAATAATCAAGTCGCTTGAAAATAAAGTAGCGAGTATTGTAGAAAGTTTAAATTTCCCATTTCTTGATAGAAAAATAAAGAATTTATCTGATTCTCACGAGAAAGATAATGTTTTAAGCAAAGGAGCGATAAAAACTTATAACGATAATGTCGAGATAATGAACAATACAAATATAAAATCTGTACGTATATTAAACACTCGGATAGACGAGCTTAACAAAGAGCTAAAGAGCGCACCATTATCCAACAAATTGGAATCATTTGCAACCATACTAAAAGGTAAATCAGCTGAGGAAGTCCAACATCGCCATCGACTAATCAACATCGTCACGGCTGAAACTGAAAATCGACAAAACCGGGCATCTAATGTCATAATCGTAGGGCTACCCAAATCAGATGATTACGACAATATGATAGCTGCAAACAAGTTTTTCAATGCATGTGGAGTTGACAGTGCCAAAATAGGCTACATCAGCAGAATAAAATCTAGCAAGATAAACAACACAATCCATAACTCCAACATAGTCAAGGTCTCTTTAATAAATGAACAATCTCGATCAGAAGTGCTTCAGAAATGTAGTCACCATAATATTGCTGAATTCAAAGGAATTTTACGTCGTGAAGATCGAACTCGTTCACAACAGTAGGCATTCAATGAGCTACAAAGTAAAATGAAAAAACTTAACGACGAACTATATGCTGCGAATGTACTTGACAAACCATTTCGGAATATTATCCACAAGCGTAAGCAGGAGAAACCTGCTGCATTGATGTTCAAAATGAACTACATAAATATGTCTTTACCTCCCCAGCACCGCACCGCAAACGTCTTCTCACAACCGTGCAAACTGCAACCACATAATATAAGCCCAACCCCACAAACCAAGGCAAAACGTAAATATCATTTGCCAAATTACTCATTACAAGACCTGCAGTCACAGGCTACTTTGCCACGTTTAAAGTTACCTTCGATAAACTTCTTCCGCTTCTGGGCAAATAGCCCATGCTCATTAAACAGCGAAAAACTCCATGAACTTGTAGCAAGACTTACTTCTATTGACAAATCTGAATAGCCACACGTAATATTCTTTTCTGAAACTTGGTTCAGTGCTACGTCAGACACTACCATTGCTGGCTTTCAGCTGCATAACACAGACCGTGATGGTAGAAGGGGCGGTGTTGCAATCTAC